CCCACCACCCCAAGAAAGGAGAGACACTGTCACTTTGTGATGGGGATTAACATCTGAGAAACTAATCAGACACAATTGGAAGGGAGGGCTTGAGTGTGTGTGTGCAGAATAATGCCCAGAGAGGTGACAGATGGAGAGGAGATTTGAGCCTTGGACAGAGATGCACAGTGGCCCTTTGTGTCTAAGTGTTGTAGGAAGAGGAGAGTGTCCTGTCTGAAGGCTTTGTAAAAGGGGCTGCAGAGAGGAGATCGTTTGCATAGTGTATGAGGTGGGAATCAGACAGGTGGAAGGAGACAAACCATGGGCAAGGGCCTGGCTGAAATAGTGAGCGCTCTCTCTGAAGCCCTGTGGCAAGACGGTCTAGGTCAGCTGTTGGGATTGGCGAGTGTCACGGTTCATCTAGGTGAGAGGGAAGAGAGGCTGTGAGCAGGGATGTAGGCAGTGGTGGAGAAAGCATCCTTCAAATCTAGGACTGGGTAATGAGTGGTGGCGGGGGGATAGAAGATGAAAGGGTGTACAGGTGGGGCACCACAGACTGATATCGCGAGGGTCCTGCACCACTCTGTACGCACCATCCGTCTTCTGAACGGGGAGAATGGGAGTGTTGTAGGGAGAGTAGATAGGGACCAAAAGACCATGTTGGAGCAGGCAAGAAACAATTGGATTTAGTCCTCTCAAAGCCTGATCGGGAACAGGGTATAGGTGCCAGGAGGGATGGGGTGACCTGGCTTTAGTGGGATGGTGAGAGGTGTTTGACTGAGAGCCAGCGAGGGGGAAGAAATGTCCCCGACCCTAGGGTTTAGATCTGGGAAGGCAGTGGGGGCTTTGGGTGGGGCCAGAGAAGGAGAGAGCAGAGTGGTAAGAAAAGCAGGACAAATGCAGGGAATGGTCAGAGTGGCAGACAGTTTGGTGAGGATATCTTGTGCGAGGAGGGGAATGGGGCAGGTAGGAACAATCAGAGAAGAGTGGGAGAAAAGTTGTTGACCGAACTGACACCAAATTAGAGGAGTTTAAAAGGCCTGGAGACTGCCATCAATACTCACAATAGAATCTGAGGCCAAGGAGACTGTCGGTCCTTAGGAAAAAGGCAAGGTGGAATGAGCTGCATCAGCATTGATTACAAAAGCTACGGACTTCACCTCCACTGCAAGAGTTACCTGAAGCTTGGTGTCTGATCTCCACCGTGATCCAGGGGGCCTTCAGGGCTTCTGGGCAGCATCAGTTGTCCGTTGCCAATCTGGGGAGGTCTGGGAGAGAGCCTGCCAGGGGATCCTGGTACCTGAGGCCAGGGCAGATACCAGCAGGGGCAGTCTGACTTCCAGTGAGTGTCCCTGCAGGTGGGGCATGGCTAGAAAAGAATCCTAGGCTTTGGGCATTCCTTGGTCTGATGACCAGGCCGACAGCATGAGAAGCATGGCCCAGCAGTATACCCTTGGGCTGGAGAGCCCTGGTGGCAGCCCTGGTGGCAGCCCTGGTGGCAGCCCTGGTGGCTGGCTTGGACTTGGGTCCAGCCTGCAGCTGTGGGTTTCTTGCGGTGGAGGCAAACAGCTGGAACTCAGATAGGCACTGCTTGGGGGCAACTTCATCCCTGTTATTGAAAACTTTGAATGCCAAGTGTACTAACTCCTATTGTAGGATTGACGGCCTGCCCCCAGTTTCTGTAGCTTTTCCGGAATATCTGGAGCAGATTGGGTGATAAAATGCACCTATAAAACCAGTTGGCCTTTTGAGCTTTCTGCATCCAGGGCCGTATGTCTGAGGGCAGCAGCCAAATGGGACATAAACCGAGCTAGATTTTCATCTTTTCTCTGGGTGGTTTCCTTAAACCTGTCTTAACTGACTGCCCTGTGTGCCGCCTTGTGGAGCCCATCAACTAAACAATGGCCACATAGTTATGGCTCCTTCGAGCAGAGCACTGACTGTTCATGCTCATCTAACCAGTTAAAGTCCCAGTTTGGTTTAGCCCAGGAAGGGCTGCAGCTGCCTCCTGAAGGTTAGGTTCAAATCACCAGCAGTTGTCTGTGACAGCTTGAGGCAAAGTCCAAAGACATTCTTGTTCTTTGGGTGAGAGGGTAGAGGAAAGAAGGATATTCAGGTGTTCCCTTGTGAGATCATGAGACTGGTACGGTATGGAAATTCCTGAATATATTTGGTAAGAAAGGAACCCAGACGCTGACTAATCTGAGAAATACTGGACAGGGGAAAGGGAACATGAACCTAAACAGTTCCCTTGGCTCCTGTCACCTCCCAGAAGTGGACACTGAGGAGCAGGGGGTGAGGAAGGGGCACGAAACTGCAGTCCAGATCAAGCATGGGACAGAGTCAGATGAGACAGAACATAAAAAGGAGATTTTGACTCAGAGGGAGGCACGGGATAGATGGATGGGACCAGTGCCCAATGAGCCGGAGGCTCTTCTGGAGGAAGTGATGCAGCCGAGGCAGCTGCGGCTGGGAGTTCTACTGCAGAAGCAAGGGGCACAGGAAGTTGTTCAGCTGAGGGGGTGGGAGGATGCCTGGGGAAAGCGAGATCAGCAGGGTTGTTGGTCGGGGAGGAATCGGCATGGGAGGGAAGCAGGGAAGGTGCAGACAGAAGGGAAAGGTGGAGAATGTGGGAGGGGTCATGAAGAGCACAGAGCAGGAAAGCTTCAGAGTGTAAGGAAAGCACAAACGTAAGCTATTTCGGACCACTTCTTTAGTCTATGGCAGTAATTATCCAGATCGCACAAAATGCAAACATCAGACATACCGTGGACAGGCCACCAAGACCTGTTGTCCAGCTGGTACTGTGGCCACACCATGTTATTGATAATTTTTCCGGCGCAGAAGGAAATCAGACAGAATAAAACGCCTTTGTTGTGGGCACGGAGAAGGGCACAGTAGGAAAGGGGAATGTGCAACTTCTGAAGGCCTGGCTGGAAGAACAATGGTTATACAGGGCCAGGCTGGAGGTGGGGTTTAGGGGGTGGGCCACCCAACATGGCAGACCAGCACTGGGTGGGAGTGTGGGAAAACGAAACAGGACACTACAAAAGTGGAACAGGAAGTCGTCATTTGACTCAGAGGAAGAAGGGTGGGACTTAGCACATGGCCTTGAGTGGCCAGTGCCATTTTGGCTTGGGGCCATACTAGTCAGTGCCATGGCACATGGCCTCCAGTGGGCGGTGCCACACTGACTGTAAAGGAATTATAATGAGGGGAGAAACCCACCAGTTACAGAAAAGTATCAGCCACTTGAGCTTCAGATAGGGAGAGCGGTGGAGAGGTTTGAGATTGTGCAGGAGGCAGGTTGGGGGAACGGGGAGGCAGTAGAAACCGAGGTCTGAGGAACCAGTGTTACTGGGTGGTCTCAACCAAAGGGAAGGAGGCTCAGGAGAGGGCTTGAGGTCCCCACAGAGTGGGCACCATCCCTCTCTCTCCCGGGTTTCGGCACCAGATGTAACGAATGACACAAGGCAGAGACTACTCCACAGGCTTTTGTGAAAGCAACGAGGCATAAGATTTAATACCTAGGTGCACACAGACGGGGGGCAAAAAAACTGTCCATGGGGAACAAAGAAAAGTGGGGGCTCTTTTATAGGACCTGAACAAGGTGGGGGTCTGGCAGGGACATTGTGTGAGAAGGTCTAAGCAAACAGCTGTGGCCAAAGTCCTCAGAGTGTCTGGGGCAAGTGTGTGGATGCTATCAGATGTCCTGGCACTGGAAAGATTCTGTGCTCTGCCTTATATCTTTACTACAGTCTGTGTTTGCCAAGGGCAGCAGCACCTGTGGTGATGTCTTAGTTACTTTTCTCTCGTTGCTGAGACAAAATATCCAACGCCCAAAATGCAGGAAGGAAAGGTTTATTTAGCTTACAGTTTGTGGAGGTTTCAGTCCATACTTGGCTGGCTCCGAGGCAGAAGATAGCAAAGCAATAAGAGCAAAGGGGGGAATGGCAGCTGAACAGCAAAGCAGCCAGAGCAAAGGGGAGGAATGGCGGCAAGCAGCTTCTTCCTGCCTTACTTCCCTGCCTTACTTTGTACACAGGCTATCCCCACCTAAGGGGTGTGTAGCTCTCACATAATCTCCATGGCCCCTTCTTCCACAGGCTCAGGATGTATACAAAGTAAGCACCCTGGCTTCCTGCTGAGTCACTTAGCCAAACCTCTAGACTCCCCAAGTTGACACAGGGTATCAACCATAACAGGTGAGCTACAGTTTTTTTCTGAGAACACTATGGCTGCTGACATACGGATACTGGGAAAGTCATGCCCAAGTCGAGCCTGACAAAGGAAGGAAAGCAGGCAAACAAAAGAGTTTGCCACTTAGATATCCTCAGCTGAGTGTCCAGGTGTGGTGCACATCTACAATCCTAGCACTTAGGAGGCTGAGGCAGGAGGATTACTCTGAGTTTGAGGCTAATCTGTACTACATAGTGAATTCAAGGCCAACCTGAACTACATAAGGAGATCCTTTCTCAAAAAACCAAAAAGCGTAATAATAATGATGATGATGATGCCACCATATCCCCTCCTCAGAGTACTCTAGTTTATAAGCAACATTAGTGATTTGTTTTTAAAACAAAGAAAGTTTTACACAAACACACACACACACACGCAGTTAGGAAAATACCACATGTAGTGAAAGTGCAGACACATGCAGAGTCAAAAGTTTCACCTGGCTGCTGGGCCCGCCCACTTCCTCTGCACCCTGGCTCCAGCTGGTCCGCCTGTCCCTTCTGCAGACCTGATGTACATCCTATGGCTGTTCTTCGTGGTGCTGGCCTGGAACTGGAACTGCTGGCTGATTCCTGTGCGCTGGGCCTTTCCCTACCAGACGCCCGGCAACATCCACCTGTGGCTGCTGATGGATTACCTGTGCGACCTCATCTACCTCCTGGACATCACCGTCTTCCAGATCCGCCTACAGTTCGTCAGAGGCGGGGACATCATTGTGAGTCACAGGCAGGCAGAGCGGGGAGCACGGCAGACCTCACCGCCAGAGCTTCCGGGCACTGATCCCTGATGCTATATGATAGATGACAAAATAAACGGAGAAGGAAATCTCAGGAGCAGCTGCCCATGCATGTTCAGCAGCGCAACTGCTAATTTCACACACCTTTGATAGGTTCAAATTATGCACGTCCGATATGGCTCATATGGTTTCTGAACCACCTGGTGAGTGCAGGGTGGAGAAGTGGGTCAGCGTGTGGGCTTTAGGTCAGGTGTGCCTGGCTGGATCCTCTCTCTGAGCCTCAGTTTCTCATCTGTAAAATGGGTTTGGTACTAGTTCCTATCAAGTAGCAATGGTGTAAGGATCAGTTGTGATGTTGAATGTAGCATGCTGGGCTCCAGCGACTGCAGGCAATCACTGTATCCCTGGGCTCCTGGAAAGGGCACGATGATCTCTGCTTCTTGGGCCATTGTGAGACTCATGCCCTGGGTCAGCTCCCACTTAGCAGGGAGGAAACCAAGGCCCTGACTGCGACTTATCAAAAACAAGTGGCACAGTTCCCATCTCCCTGTGCAAGTCACGCTCTGGAATTCCACACTGAGGGCTGGTGACAGAGCTCAAAGGTAGAGCAGTTGCCCAGCACCGCATGAGCCTTAGGTGGGATCCCCAGGGTGGAAAGAAAAACACATTCCACACTGGCGGCACAAGCTCTGCTGTGTGCATGCAAGTTGAGGCTTTGCCTTTTAAATGACCTTGAGGAGCTAGAGGTAGCGGTATATTACTGAAACTCCTGCTGAGGGTGTCAGTCTAATCCACCTGACAATCTGGCCTGTGGAAGCAACAGAAAGACAGAAAAAGTCCTGCAGTTGAGGAGCTCTGGATGACTCAGTGTTCTCTCTGGAACAAAAGGCCTGGTCTCCAAAAGCTCATGGATTTTATTGTATCAATCAGGGAGGTGGGTGGGGGTCCTGGCAGAGTACACAGGGAAAAGAAACTTTGTCGCTGTACCAGGCACAGCTGCCTCCAATTAGCAATGCACAGATAGTTTTGAGGTTTGCAAGGCTGGCACCTTTACTGCTCAGGACATTTGTTTCAATAGTGCCATCTCTACACAGCTCAGTAAATAGAGTGAAGGAGAGGTCAGGGACAGATTGTGGCAGGGGCTTTATTTTTCAGGAAAGAGCAATGTGGTGGTCTCCCACAGTACATCCCTGTAATACCAACACATAGGAGGCTGAGGCAGGAGGATGTGGTGTTTTGTCTCAAAAACAAAACAAAACAAAACATGAATGACTTACAGGAAAGAGAACTCTCTGGCCAAACTTTTCCCTGGTCTGATCAGAGCAGTTGCCAGGGTTTCGGTGAGTTAAGTTGCAAGTGGTCCCAGGAAGACGGACACGCTAGGGAATGAGTTTCAGAGCCCTCGCTTGGCATCCAAGGAACAAGGATCTAGCTGGTGACCCTAGACAGGGGCCTTCCCTCTCGACCTCAGCTACTGAAGCTTGGCGGGTCCCCTCTGGCTCCACCGCTGCAGGCTGCTCAGATAGGGAAGGGCAGGGATTCTGCGGGGAATTCCATGGCGGCGTCCTGTAGTAGGTCAGGGGTTAAGCTCTAACGCCATCTCACTGTCATTATTCCATTTTCTTCCAGACAGACAAGAAGGAGATGCGAAATAACTACCTGAAGTCTCACCGATTTAAGGTGTGTGTTGGGACGATAGGTGTAGTGGTTGTGGGGCCCCAGGGGCTGAATGCTTGGGGGCCCATGTGACATGGTACGTGCCACCTGGAGGGCTGCTGGGCATGGCCCCTGTGGGTGTCTCCCATGGGCTCATCCCCCCCCGAGGCCAGCACAGGTGGGGAGGTCCTCAAAGGCCACCTTTCCGGATCTGCATCCTTCTGCTCCCTTTGTGTGTGGGGGGACACAGTGGTCATTGTCATGGCAACGGAGCTGGCACTGGAGTGGACAAGGTGGTCCTGGAAGCCACATGGGTTTCTTGGTGAGCGCCTCCTGGCCTCCGGCACAAGGGCCTCATGGACATTCTGACCTCCCCTGTCTGTGGAGGGTAGGACCCCAGCTCTCACTCACCCCACGCTCAGACCCAAGGTTATGTGTTTGACACACCATGGGGTCCCCTTGGGGTTTCAGATGGACATGTTCTGCCTCCTGCCCTTGGACTTCCTCTACTTGAAATTCGGCGTGAACCCCCTCCTCCGCCTGCCCCGCTGTTTAAAGGTGAGACCAGCAGCTCCTCCCTGTCACCTTCCATCCTCCACCGGAGCTGGGGCAGGGGAGGTGTCCTCAGGGGAGCTGCTCACACTCCAAGCCCATCTTGGTGGAAAGTGATTCCAAGGGCTCTTGTCTCTGCGGCCCCATCTGTTAGGTACAGATTGGTGCTGGGTCCTCCCCCACCTCCCTGGGAAGCCAGTGTCGTTTTTACCACACCCTGCAGATGAGGAGCCCAGGGCACAGACAGGCTGAGCAGCTTGCCCGAGTCACACGGATAGGAAGGAGTCGAGTCTGGGCCTGCACGCAGGCAGCCTGCTTCCTCCACTCAAGTCTCAGTTGTTATAGAGCTGTTCCGGGGGCTTCTGCTTTATGATGGTCTCCACCGAAAAGATGGGCAGAGTGGCACTGAGGTGCCAAAGAGGTGGGGTGACTTAGCCAAGGTCGCAGGAGCAAGCAAGTGCCCGGGGTGCGTCTGAGGGCACAGCCCCTGACCCGCTTGGTCACTGGTCAGTGTTCGGAGTCATTCCAGTGTTTTATCTGCCTTTTGTGGGGTAGAGCTGGGCTCCCAGGAGGTTGGCCAGGCACGCTGTGGACTGGAGCTGTCCTTTCATGAGCTCAGGGTAGACAGCCACTCAGAGCCCTCAGGATCCCTCAAACGGATTTTGCTGGCCTAACAATTAAATTCATCTTTCTCTTTACATCATGCCTGGTGGTTTTTTTTTTTTGTTTTTTTTTTTTTTAAAAGGCCTCCTCAATATGCAGTTCAAGCTGGCCTTGAAATCACTGTTTAGCCCACTCTGGCCTCTAACTCATGACAATCCTCCTGTCTCAGCCTCCCAAGTGCTGGAATTATAGTTGTGCACCACCATGTCTAGCTGATGTTTGGTGCTTTTATCCAAAATCAATAAATGAGGGAATTTATTTTTTTAAAAAAGAGGCAAATGCAATAAGAGAAATACGCCAGAGAATGCTAGGGAAAGCAAGCATACCATGCTAGAATGGACCACAGAAGCTGCCAAGGAGAAGAGGGAAAGCGGCACCATTCTCCTCTGCTGCACGCAGGCCTCGGGGGGCTGCAGAAGCTGCTTTAGAGCCAAGCTTCAGAGTGAGAAGGGCCCAGCCTTCAGGCCAAGACGGATCCCGGATGTGGACGTGAGATGCCTCACATGGCCAGTGTGGTGTGTGTGCACACCACGGGCTTACCGTCCGGCACAGCTTGGAGGAGGCGACCCTTTGAGCCTCAGATGGGGGAGCAAGCCTGTGGTCTTTCTGCAGCCAATGTAATCTGTGGATGGGTGTTACAGTGAACACTTTTAAAATTTTTTTTGGTACCGGGAATCGAACTAGGGACCTTGTGCTTGCCAGACAGGTGCTCATGCCGCTGAGCTATCTCCCTGGCCCTAGAACGAACACTTAGATGCTGGCTAGCACATCCCTTAGGACAGTGGTGGCAAATCTGTGGCATCTGTGGCATCTAGGGTATGCTGAAGTGGGATGTTTGTAACACTGACTGCTGTAGAAGGTTTTCCATCACCCCCTTAGGAAATCTTCCTTAATATTATGTTCAAATGTCAAAAACTCAGCATGGATTAAGACCTAGAGGGGGTGCAGCATACGGTAAATAGCTGGCAGCTTTGAGTCCAACCTGGGTTCAAGGTTGACTCTCATTTCCCAGTGGCTTGGGGACAAGTTACTGGACTGCCCCAAGTGCCAGTTTCCTCTCTGACAAAGGGAAATGAAAGTGTGTGCGCTGCAGTTCCCTGGTGGGATGTTTGTCTAGCACGCAAGATCCCCAGCCCTGAGCAAAAGACAACACATACTTCATAGGTAAATAGGGCATAAGATAGGTAAAGAGGCGCCAATCATATAATAGGAGCTCAGGAAAGAAGAGTAATTATCATTGTACTTTTCTTACTTTACATAGTTTTTGAAGGACATAATGGGGTAATAAAGAGTTTTATTATAAAATTGTTTTCTTCATAAGTAAACATTCAAAATAGGGCCCCTAACTTGGGATGCAGGAACATCCAGAAGTTTCATGATGAGATTCAGAAGGTCTGGGGGTCCCCAGAAATAATAAACCAATGGAGAGAATAGATTATATGTGATTTCCCAGCGAACATGCGCCATGGCTGTCGTCAGATTCCTAAATGGGGTTTCCAGCCCCCGGCCGCCCAAGGGCTAAGTATCCTTTGGTTTGAATGCTCACTCACTGTCCAGACCCCCCTCAAGGAGGAGGAGTCTCAGTCTCAGCACCTGGGGGGAGGGCAGGGAGGTGAGGGCAAGGTGCCACCCACGACAGTGGCTGTCCCTGATGCCCTCCTCTTCCTCCCAGTACATGGCCTTCTTCGAGTTTAACAACCGCTTGGAAGCCATCCTCAGCAAAGCCTACGTTTACAGGTGAGGCACCCATGCACACATGTACATGCACATACACAATGCATGTATGTGTGCACTCACACACACATGTGAGAGTCCACACACACACGGGACAAGTGTTCCCTATTTATTTCTGCCCCTTTCACCTCCTCTGCCCTCCAGTCCCTATGGCCTGTGGAAGCCAGAAGCTGGACTTCTTCCTGGCCCAGCCTCTTCTCTGAGGGATGTTTGTTCTTTAGAGAATGGAGCTCGTTCCATTTCCCCTAATTGTGCCAGGTTCACAGGAGTGGCTCACTAGTATTTGGGGGTCAGTGCAAGAACCCGAAGCCCCAGTGTAGCTCCAGGGGAGGGGAGCATTTGTAAGGGCACAGTGGGCGGCTCACAGACATGCGAGGTGGGGCACTAGACCAGCCGGGCTGCAGTAGGGGAACGGGACCCCCAGCACCTCTCTCACAGGGTGCATGGCCTCACTGTCACTTCTCCGTGCGCCCTGTCCCCTGCCTGCTCCTCCCATGGCCACATTTCTCCTCTGGCCTCACTGCCCCAGAACTCACCTGAGCAGCTGGTGCTGCCACCCCTGGGCCAGTTCCAGCCCTGAGTCTTGGCAAGCTCCCGACCCAGCACCACCATCCTTACCTGGCTCAGCCTTAAAGAGTGCCCCACAGGGCCAGGCCAGCTGCTGCTGCTTCCGACTGGCCGGGTGTCCAACCTCTGAGTGGCTGGGCAGGACCATGGGCTCCACTGCTGGGACCTTTGAGGTGGGCTTTGGGGGAGGTGAGGACTGGCTGCCTCCCCGCAGTCCTGGCCCTGGAGGTGTTGCCTCCACCCTCTCATGGCTGTGTCCGTGCCCCTCCCCCTCTGCAGGGTCATCAGGACCACAGCCTACCTGCTGTACAGCTTGCACCTGAACTCGTGTCTTTATTACTGGGCCTCGGCCTTTCAGGGCATCGGCTCTACTCACTGGGTTTACGATGGCGTGGGAAACAGGTGAGCTCCCCTCCCTCCTGCGGCCACACCTGGGTGATGGTCTTGTTCTTTCTAATTCATAGCACAAGGAGTCCATTGCCACCATGTTGCAAGTCTCCCTTGCTCCTGAGGAGTCACTGACATGACAAGGTTCAAGGGCGCTGTCTCCATGTCTTCCTGAGCACCTGCTGCGTGCCAGGCAGAGGGTAGAGACACACACGAGACCTGCTAGAAAGGTCCTCTCAGCAAAGCCGGGTGTGGTGGCACACACCTGTAATCCCAGCACTCAGGAGGCTATGGCAGGAGGATAGCTGTAAGTTGGAAGCCAGCCTATGCTACATAGTGAGTTAAAGGCCAGCCTGAACTACAGAGAGAGATCTGTCTCAAAAAAAAAAAAAAAAAAAAAATCCTCTCAGCATCCCAAAGTCCTGTAGGTTGATAAATACATGGTGGGCTTTGGGGGAGGTGAGGACCCTAGATGCTCTACAGCGATGATGATGACAACAGTAGCAGTACGTCTTGCAGAACACTTGTTACTATTCATATGTAGCGGCCCATCAAAGCATTTAACGTAGTAACAACAGTCACACAACAGGTACTGTGACTCTTCCCATGTGACGGAGGAAGTGACAAGTCAAGGTCACACAGTTCATGTTACAGAGCCGGGACCCAAGTATGCTTCTTGATCACTGGACTGTGTACCCGAGGGGAAAAAAGTGCCTGGTGCCTGGGGGCAGGGGTGGGGGAATGGGAATGGGTGTGGCAGATTTCGCCAGAAGTTAAGCTAGTTCGGCTTGGTCTTGGCTTTGGGAGACAAAGAAGGGACAGAGAATCCAGGGGGAAGGAATCGCCTGAAGAAAGGTAAGAAGTTTTTGCTGGGCAGTGTGGCGAATGTCTGTAATCTCAGCTACCCGGGATGCTAACTAGGAAATCAGCAGTTTGAGGCCAGCCTGGGTAACTTGGGGAGATTCTTTCTCCAAATAAACAGAACTAGGTGTGTCATTCAGCGGTAGAGCTCTTGCCAAGCATGTGCACGAGGGCCTGCGTTCTAGTCATAGCAAAATAACAGAGTCAAGGATTGGGAGCCCAGCATGGCTGAAGAGAATGGGCCGGTGGAAGTTTCTAGAAAGGTGGGTGGAGCCAGGTTGCCAAGCAGCCTCCCCAAGGAATTCAAACCTTGCTCTTCAGAGCTGGGAGTCCCCCAGGGGCCACATGGTGCTTGGTACACAGCTGTTGTGGGCAAGCTGGGCCGCCAGTGTGAGACCCACCTAGGGTCTGGGAGATTTAGGGCAAATGTCAACTGTGTTAATAGGCCTTACTCCTGTTTAAAATTTACTCCCCTCTGGAATTTGGAGCTAAATTCTGAGACTATGTCAGCTTTTCTAAAGAGACTTGCCTGGCTTTCCTTCAATTCTCAAAGGGGTTTATGCCTCAGTAAGCCAAGGACCCACTTGGGGGGATGGCAGTCATGGGGAGGGATGGCAAGGAAGAAGAGGACCCGGGTTCCAACCAGTGTGGTCATTCTCCAGGTCTGGGATGTGGAGAGAGAGTCCCCACAGAGCCATAGCAGGGAAACACAGGGTTCTGGGAGGTCTCTAGCATGTGCCATGCTGATGAAGATTGCTCCAATGAGGAAACACTTGGGGGGAAGCCCGAGCTTTGTGGACATCACTCCTATGTCTCCCTCTGTTGGCGGCCCAGCCACCGAGTCACGGTCCCCCAGCTCCCAGCCCAAGGGTCTGGAGGACCGGGGGCAGCTCAGTCCCCACCAGAGCTGCTTGGTGCGCCCTCTGGTGGCCAGGGGCTTGTGTTGTCCAGAGACTTTCAGACAACTGGTGACAATGAGCTGCCCTGAAGCCCAGAGCCACACCCAGTCAGAAGCAGAGCCATCCCCCTAGTTGCCCAGCAACCTCTGCTTCCGCCTCCCAGCACTCAGCACACATTACTCACCCTCACTGCAGAGCTTCCTGAGGACTCCACAATGCTGTGCTGGGCCACTGCAGGCACGCAGCAGACCCTGGGCGACCACTGATTTACAGAGCCCGCTCTGGGTCGGGCACTCTCTTCCAGCAGCTCGTTTCGTCCTCGTGGTTGCCTGTGAAGGACGTTCCACCGGCATCCCCATTTTATAGACGAGGAGACCAGGGCTTGGAGAAATTGAGGAATCTGCCCAGTTAGGCAGCTCAAAAGTGGCTTTGAGCGCCTTTAGCCTGGCTCCAGAACCTGTTTGAGCTTCCAGGCTGCATAAATAACCTGTGAGTGGAGGCAGGCAGCCCAGGAAAACCGGCCCATTTCACAGCCCTACCTGCCCCCCTGCTTCCCCGGTCCCCACAGGGGTTGGCCTGGAGGTGTGGACGGGTATGGGGGGACTCTTGCTGCTGTGGATGATTGGACAAGCCCAGGGCATTTCCCATGCCGTTTACCACACAGCAGGACCCCCAGCACCCACACCTCCCTTCCTCATGGACCACAAGCCTGGGCTGGGGGTTACCTGAAGGTGGGGTGGCAGCTCAGAGGAACAGCCAGCACCCTGCGTTCTAGTCCTGGCTCTGGAACCTGCCCGCTCGTGACCATGGGAGTTCCCTTTCCCTTTGTGGGGGGGGGGGCTTAATTTCACTACCTGGAAAATGGATGAGGCGGAGGAAGGGTCAGGAAAGGTGGCCCCAAGATAGTGTGCCCTTCAGCGTCCACAGGAGACTGGTTCCCGGAGACGCCAAATTTGGAGGCTGCTCATTCCTTTACAGGAAGCGATGTGGTAATTTTCATATAACTTATGCACACGTTCCTGTATTCTTTAAATCATCTCTAGAGTATTTTGAATTCCTAATACATTGCAAATGCATAAATACTTGTTACACTGTATTGTTTAAGCAATACTGAGGAGAAAAGATATCTGTGTGTTCAGTATAGACACAATTTTTAAAAATTATTTTCCACCTGGGCTTGGTTAGATCCCCAGATGCAAACCTGTAGATATGAGGGCCAATAGGATCTTACAACTCCGATGTTATTCTTTGTCTTAGTTACTTTCTCATTGCTGGGACAAAATACCTGATGCCCACAGTTAAAGGAACAAAAGTTTATTTGGCTTACGGTTTACAGAGATTTCAGCCCATATTCACCGATCCCAAAGCAGGGCAGAGGGGCAGGGCAGAGGAGAAACAGCTCTGGTATGGTGGTGGGAAGCGGAGAGAGAGATCAAGGGAGGAGGAGGGAATGGGCCCCTCCAGGCCACGCCCCCAGCGAGCCTCCCCCTCGGACCAGGCTTCACCTCCCAACATCACACTTAGCTATAAACTCATCCCTAGATTAACCCATTGAGAAGCATCATCCCTCCATAATCCAGTCACCTTCCCCGAACTCCACCTATGAGGCTTTGTGGGGACATCTAGATAGAAACTGTAACACTTGCTCTCCATGAGCCAGCATGACGAGATAACAAAGGAAACAACTGCAGAAATCGTGGGAGCCCTGGCATCAAGACAGGTCTAGCCTCCCTCTGTCCTCCCACCAACTCTTCCTGGATATCTTCTGGAGTTTCCGTATCTGTCCATGCCCTGCAGGGGTGGGGCAGAGCCAGGGACAAACTTACATGCTCTGCCTTCGTGAGAGCAGGTGTTCTTGCGTCTAAGGCCTGTAAGCTCTTCCTCTTTGCACAGTGCACTCCCATCACAGGGGTCTGAACCAGGCCGCCCAAGGTCGGCAGGCGTGTCCCGTTATGACCAAGGTCCCTTTCCTCTTCTCTCTCCAGTTACATCCGCTGCTACTACTGGGCAGTGAAGACCCTCATCACCATCGGGGGGCTGCCTGACCCCCAGACGCTCTTTGAAATTGTCTTCCAGCTGCTGAACTATTTCACGGGTGTCTTCGCTTTCTCTGTGATGATTGGACAGGTAGCTGGGACTCAGCCTGGGGTCCCAGCCCTCCCCCTGCAGGGCCCTCCCGCACTGTCAGGAGCATCAGCCTCTCTGCCTGTTGCTTTGGGACTAAGCTGGGAAGGGGCACAGGGCTGAGAATCAGAAGCCTGGGGTGCTGGGCCCTGCTGGGCGAGTGGAAGGAGGGGGTGTAGGTCCCATCCCTCTCTGAGGTCATTTCCATTTAAAATGTCAGTCCCTTTGGGTTTCCTGATGAGTCGGCCGCATGGCTTAACGATGGGCAGGAGAAAGCCCTTGTGTTTCCAGCAGGCTGCTGGGTATCTTGTTTTCTAGTCAGTGCAGGTGCCACACGGGGGTCCTCACAGGAGCCCTTGAAGGTCCTCAGCCTGAGGAACTGTACACTGGGTTCATATATCCTCTAGCAAGGGCTTGGGCAAAGTGGCTAGGGTACCACAGAGTCAGCCCGGCCCAAAGAGGTGTCCCCTCGGGATCTGATGCCACCAGAGGGGCCAGCAGCTCCCCTTCCCACATCCATACTGGGGGCAGGACTTTTTCCCACTTCTGTGTGTGGACGTCTCCGACCCTCCCTCCCTCCCCTGTGATTATGAGCCCCTGTCTGGGTAAAGTGACACATCCCGAAATTCGCTTCCGTCCTGCCCCAGATGAGAGATGTGGTAGGGGCGGCCACCGCGGGACAGACCTACTACCGCAGCTGCATGGACAGCACAGTGAAGTACATGAACTTCTACAGGATCCCGAAGTCTGTGCAGAACCGCGTCAAGACCTGGTACGAGTACACCTGGCACTCGCAAGGCATGCTGGGTAAGGCCGACACCCCCACCCAAGGCCTTCCGGTTCTTCCCTTGTCCTGTGTGTCTGAGGCCCAAGCACTGGGCCCTCTCTTGGCTGCAGCCCCAAGGTTTATGTGAGAGGGGCCTGCAGAGGCCTGGGAGGTACCCCACACTGGCTGTCATGACACTCCTAAAGCCTGTCTTTGGGGCTCCTGTCTCTCCTCATTTCACCTTGGGACACAGCCCCACCGGAGATCAGGGTTGAGGTTTGATCAGGAAGGAGGAGTCCCTCCTCGGTCCCCCTCTCCCACCCTTTCCTCTGTCAGGGCACCTGCACCCCATGGTGGCCGCTGCTCCCCTGCGAAGGCATGGGCACGTTCTCCTTCTGTCTTCCTGGCTGCATGGCGCCAGGCAAGCCAATGCCCCCGCTTGTGTGTGAAGATGGAGTAGTGGAGCCCCTTGGGTTTCGGGGAGGACGAAATTAAATAACCTCTGTGAAAAGGAGGCACTGAAGTACTGGGAACGTAGCTCAGCGCCAGAGCACTTGCCCAGCATATGCAAGGCCCTGGGTTCAGTTCCCAGCACCACTAAAAAATTAAAGAAGGAAGATTGATTTAAAAACCAGGCATGGTGGTGCACGCCTGTCACCCCAGCACTGCGGGCTGAGGCAAGAGGATTGCAAGTTTGAGCCCTGCCTGCACAATTTAGTGAGACCCTATCTCAAAATACAAAAAAAAATTTTAAAAACCTGGGGAGGTATCTCAGTGCAAAGGCCCTGTGTTCAATCACACACACACACACACACACACACACACACACACACACACACACTCATGCACACAAAGCTGGCACATGGTAAGTACTAGATAAACTAGTTCTTGCTAATGTTCTCCTAGTGTGTAAAGGGGGGCATGTTTCATCAACAATTGAAATAAAGGGATGACCAGTGCTGCAGCCTCAGAACTCCTGATGCAGAGGCTGTCCTGGGAGTGTCCCAGGAAGGCTTCTTGGAAGAGGTGACATTGGTGCTGGGTTTTGAAGAATGAGTAGGAGTTAGACAGGGAAGTGTCTAGGGCTTTCCTGACAGAGGGACTGTATTGACAAAGGCCTGAAAGTGACAGCTGTCAGGGTCTGGGGTGGCAGGGAAGGTGGCCAAGGTGTAGGTGTGTGAGGGTTGGGGCTACCCTTGCTCTGACCCCCCAGTGTCCTATTCACAGATGAGTCAGAGCTGATGGTGCAGCTTCCAGACAAGATGAGGCTGGACCTCGCCATCGACGTGAACTATGACATCGTCAGCAAAGTGGCACTCTTCCAGGTACGCCCTCACAGTGCCCTGTCCTTTGGGACTCTGGGGACCCCAAGCCTGAGCATCCCTCTAACAGGGCTCCTTTCCCTCCTCCCTGGGCAGGGCTGTGACCGGCAGATGATCTTCGACATGCTGAAGCGCCTGCGCTCCGTGGTCTACCTGCCCAACGACTATGTGTGCAAGAAGGTGTGTGCTGAAGCCAGGGGGAGCCGGCCAGGCTGAGGCGGTCTCCTCGGATTGGGCAGGGCTGGGGCGCCTGAGACGCCCTGGGCTTCAAGGGCCACCGCGGAGGGACAGGAGGCTGCAATGCCAGCCGGGGATCGGCCTGAGTGTCTGCGGGCTGGGGACCAGGCTTTGCAACACGGGTCCGCAGCTCTGTCTCGGCATGGGCTGGAGGTCAGGACAGGAGCCCCAGTTCACAGAGAGGGATGGAAGAAGCTCGCACGGTTTCCCTCTTCCCATTCAGAAATGGGGTATGGGGAGAGCACATTTGCTCACACCACCCCTGGAAAACCAGTAGCCCTGGTTAGGGCAATGGTGGTGGTGGGGGACCCGGAGTTAGCCGCTCTTGCAAGGAGCTGACAGTAAGCCTGGGTGTGTGTACAGGGGGAGGATGTTGCCCCAGCAGGCCCTGTAAGCCTGGGGAGCCCCAGCCCAAGAAGGCCTCCAACTCTAGGCATGTGCTGTCCAGCACTGAATTTTCTGGAAGCAGAGCGCTGGGGAAAGAGGGAGAAAAGGATGCTGTAGATGGCTGAGAATGTAAAGCTTCAGTCGAGGGGACAAGGGGAGTTTGGAAGCAACAGAGTGATCTGTCTGGACTTGGGAACCACTTCCTAGCTGTGCAGCCCAGAGCAAGTGGCTTGCCCTCTCTGAGTCCTGCTCTTCTCACTGATAAAGTGTGGGTATGGGTAGCACCTCCCTCACGGGGTGGCTGGGAGAACTGAACAAGATAGGCCTGTAGTTTGGCAGAGAGCAGGCGCGATTGCTGTTGCTATCACGGGAGAGGTGATGCAGTTTGCTTTCAGTGAGGTCAGTCTGACTAAGGGAGGCCGAGTTATGAGGTGAAATGCTTGTGGGTGTGTGAGTGGCGCCCTCTGCTGTCTGGTTCTGCACGACACTGTCCTTGAGACACCCGGTGCTGGGTAGTGCGGTGTCACAGAGGGTCAGCCAGGACGCTGCCTACCTGGGAAGAGGATTCTGCATGTGTGACATGTGCTGGTGTCGCCAGGTTGCTGTCCAGGTGGGACTGGCAAGCGGCCGCTGGGTGGGGCTGACAGGGCCTGAGGACTGGAAGGTTTGTGGCAGGCTGAAAAAAAGCTCGCCTTCCATCCTTCCTTCCTCCCTTTCTTCCTTCCATCCTTCCTTCAGTCTTCCATCCCTCCCTCCCTTCCTTTGTTCATTCATTCACCTTGGGACTCAGCCATCGTGGGAGTTTGGTGGGGCCACCAGGCCACACACCGCATGGCCTCCGACCCAGACCCAGCCTCTCTGTTCTTCCATCGTTTCCCCACGGTGTCTGTCTGTGTCCAGTTCCCTTTTGTGAGGACACTGGATTTGGACTCCCACCTCGTTCCAGGGTGGGCTTATCTTAGTGACGTCTGCCACAACCCTATTACCAGATCGGGCCACGTTCTAAGGCCCTGGGGATTGGGATTTCAAAATGTGGATTAGGAGTGGGGCACAATTCAACCTGTAACAACCACGGATTCTGAAACCAGACTGGATTCGAATCCTGGCTCTGCCTCATCCTCACTTTATGACCTCAGAAAAGTATAATCCAGCAGGCTGAGGCAGGAAAGTTGCAAGTTCCTGTCCAGCCTGGGTAGCTTAAGGGCTTAGCAAGATCCTGTCTCAAAATAAAAATTTTGAAAAGGTCTGGGGATGTAGCTCAGTGCAAAGCACCTGTGTTCAAACTCCAGTGCAAAACAAACAGACCAACCAACAAACAAACAATCCTGCCCTGCACCAGAGGGCCGTGGAGACTGAGGACGCAGACTGCCAGGGACAGGCTCGAAGTGCTTTGGGCTGCAGGACCTCACCGTTGCCGCCAGCCTATCTCAGCGGGCAGACGCCGGCCGCTCCTAGCTGGGGCCGCACACGGATGTTTAGTGATGCCAGGGCCACCGCCCGGATCGCCAGGCCTCCTTCGTGGGCGTGGGTGGGAATCCAGAGAACCAGCGCCCCGCACCTCCTCGGCTGCCTGGCACTTTCCATCCGGAACCTGCCGGAGCTTGGCAGGCGGGCAGGGCAAGGGGTGCTCACTCTCCCCGGTCCCCAGATGAGGAGCCTGGGACCCGAGAGGAAACTGACCGTCTCAGACACCACGCCAAGAGGTGGCGCAGGGCTGGACTCGGCCTTACTGCCTCCTCGCTGGGCCGCCAGCCTTTGGACGCAGCCCTTGGCTCTGAGGGTGCTCGGGGGTGGCACAGGGGCTCAGCTTCCTCTGTTTCAGGGGGAGATTGGCCGTGAGATGTACATCATCCAGGCGGGCCAGGTGCAGGTCCTGGGCGGCCCTGACGGCAAGGCGGTGCTGGTGACCCTGAAAGCCGGATCCGTGTTCGGAGAGATCAGGTGGGAAGCGCTGGGGAACAGGAAGCCCCGGGCACAGGCTGGGGGATGGCGGTGGCCGCGCGGTGGGCCTGGGCCCTCGGGCTGCAGCACTGGCCCCGCTGGGCTGTGCGGGGGAGCTCTGGGTGCCCACTGGCATGGGGCCGCCGCCGCCGTCGTGCTTCACCGGAGGGCCAGGGTGGCAGAGCCGAACGAGATCCGAAGCACGGCCTCCGGCCTGCGAAGGGTCTCACAGCCTCCCTTGTCCCCCAGCCTGCTGGCCGTCGGGGGCGGGAACCGGCGCACCGCCAACGTGGTGGCTCACGGGTTCACCAACCTCTTCATTCTGGATAAAAAGGACTTGAACGAAATTTTGGTGCATTATCCTGAGTCTCAGAAGTTGCTCCGGAAGAAGGCCAGGTATGTAATGTATTTTATCACTTAAAAAAATGTTAAGGACAAAGACTTCTCGTGTGTGTGTCTGTGTGTGTGCTACCTTTATCAAATCAGAACGTTCACCTCGTCTCTCTCCTGTACGCCGTCCTCATGTTCTGCCCGCGGTCGGAGTAGCATCAGCTCCGCTTTTCCCTTTCTTCTCCCTGGATCGAGAAGAGCCATAGACTCTATCCTTGATGTCTTCCACTCCTTTGGGTAGACAGCCTGGCTATTTTGTACGTATGTCGTCCCTCAGTCTGTGCTTGCCAGGTTTTCTTGTGGTCACCTTCAGGCTCTCAGTATTGAGCAGGAACAATCGGAAGTGATGCCCTGTCCCACTCAGAGAGCAGATAAAGGGGCACGTGGGGCTGATGAGTTTTGCTCCTATCACATGCTGCTGAAGGTTTCTGCACTATAAGTTGCTATTTTTCTCTTGGTAATAGATAAGTACATAAGCTGGACATGGTGGTGCGCACCTATAGTCCCAGCACTTGACAGGCTGAGGTAGGAGGATCATTGCAAGTTCAAGGCCAGCCTGTACTACATAGTGAGCTCAGGACCAGCTTGAACTACAGTGCGAGACCCTGTCTCAAGACAACAAAAATTAATTAGTAAATTAATTATTAATTCCAAAGGGAGTAACTTTGAACCAGGCATGGTGGCACACACCTGTAATCCCAGCACTCACAAGGCTGAGGCAGGAGGATTGCTGTGAGTTTGAGGTCAGCCTGGGCTACATAATGGATTCAAGGCCAGCCTGCATTACACAGTGAGATCCTGTCTCAGAAAACAAAGGGAGTAACTTTGGAACTATATACACATCCTACCTGCCACCAAACTTTCACCCATTGCTTTTAGCACCTGCTAGTGGTTTCCTGCTAAATCACAGATTGCTATAAGGTTTGAAAAATGGTTCTTTTCTCCTTTCATATCCACTCACTAGCATTCTACCATAAGGAAGAGGCTTTGCTTCTCTCTCACTTTTTTATTCATTTATCTTTCATAGGAGCAAGAACTTATTTCATGAATATCCTGTTACAGTCTCTTTTCTGTTTTTATTTTGTGGTACTGGGGACTGAACTCGGGGCTTTCACAGTGAGCTACATCCTAGCCCTATTTAATTTAATTATTTTATTCTGAGACATCAAGTCACTTAGTTGCTCAGGCTGGGCTTGAACTTGGTATCCTCCTGCCTCAGCCTCCCACAGTACTGGGATTACAGGTGTGCACCAGCACATCTGGCTACAGTCATTATTTTGATGCTCAGATGTTCCCAGGTTGCCCGTGGGCACCTGTCTGTACTAACTCTTGTGGCCCTTTCTATGTGCCCTCAAATTATAGCACTTTGGTGCTTCCATGAGGCACAAAAGACACATCTTGTGCTTTCCCTGCTAAGTCCCAGGAAATGGCCATTCCCCAAAGAGCCAGGATCCCCTACATGGGAAATAGTCAGGGGCTTTTTGGTGGGCTGTCGGGGGTGCTGGGGATTGAACCACAGGCCTCCCACAGGCTAAGGATGTGCTCTACCACCGAGCTACCTGCGCTTGGGGAATGGTTCTTAGAAACCAAGGTCTCAGTCCTAGCAGTGCTTACCTGGGGATCTGCCGGGAGAGGCACCTGGGTCTCCCCTGTGAGCAGCACGCATACACCTGTGTATATAAACATGAACAAATAGCCAGGTGCATACATGCAGGCACATATATATGTCAACAGTGATTTTCTGGCTGGGCGAGGTGGCGCACTCCTGTAATCCCTGCACTTGTGAGGCTGAGGCAGGAGGATTGCCTTCAGTCTGAGGTCAGCCTGGTCCACATAGTGAGTTCAAATCCAGCCTGGACTACACAGCAAGACCCCATGTCAGAAAACTGAAAAACAAAACAGAACAAACATGGATTTTTCTGTCTATATGTCAGTTAATCTCTCCATAAAACAATTTCAGTCCAGTGCTACAGAGTTCATTCCATCCTTGTATATCCCTTCTCCAATGCTGAAAACTTTGCTTGCCTTTATCCTTGTTCAGTCCTATAGTGTAAGGTGAGTTCAGAATTATCAGCCCATATCTACCACTGCTAAAAAGAAGTCTTCAACTGTACTTGGTACTGCATGCCTGTCATCCTAGCTACACAGGAAGCTGAGGCAGGAGGATCACAACTTCAAAGCCAGCCTGGGCTACCTAAAAAGAACTGGGGATATAGTTCAGCAATAGAGCATTTGCCCCGCATGTGAAAGGAGGCCCTAGGTTCCATTCCCAGCACCATCATCACCAAAAAAAAAAATTATTTGGGATAACACTCTCATCCCTCCCACCTCTCACAGGGTTATTTTGCCTGTCTGAAATCCAGGTGGGGGCTTTGCTTCAGCTTGTATCCCATTTAAAGCTTTCCACCATGCCGCTGGGTGACTTATTGTTGCAGTTTTGTTTTGAGGATGTAAAACATTAATGTGTTTCTAAAAGTCGAAACTCTACCAAATAGGTAGTCAGAGAAGTGTGGGACGCCCCGTTCCCCTGCCACCCACCCCGAAGGTGATGACGTCATCGGTTTCTGCCTTCTCCTGCCTGTGCTCACTTTTGCAGGAATAGGTGGAGCCTTGCTCTTCTCCTGCCCACCCCCCCACAGTGGGTCAGAGGCTTTGGGCACCTTGCTTTTTTTCACCTGACAGTGAGTCCTGGGCACCCCCCTCTCTCAGCCCCGATGGAGACCTTGCCCCTCGCTGGTCATGAGCGCTCCTGTGAGCTGGGATTCAGGGCAGCTCCGGTGGTTCGCAGTTGAAAACGGCTGCTCTGAGTAACCTCCTCTAGCTGCATTCTGTGCCGATGGGGAACAGGTAATATTTCAGAAAAGCAGGATTCTTCTTTCCAGTCCTCAGGATCAGATTTCAAATTGAGCAGCCGAGATATAGCATGGTAGAAATCCCTTAACAGGCTTGAGAATACGATGGAGCTCAAAGCCCTTCCATATGAGGCACTGGCTATGTGACTTTCAAAAAGTTACTTCAATTTTTTGGTTTCTTTTTTGTATTATCTTTTTTTTTTTTTTTTTTTTTTTTT